AGGGAACTAAAATATGCCTGCGAGCCAGCAAGATAGGCTCAGCATTGCTCCAATGCTTTATGTGGTCTTAATCAGCGGTATTAGAATTTAGGTTAGAAATCCCAACTTCGCTAAATGAACAATGATTATCTGGATTCTGAAGCTGCCAGAAAAAAAAGAAAGAGAAAAAAAAAAAAAACAAAAAACCAGCTACAGTCTTTCCCGAGAGCAATTGCCCTTTCTGGCAGGAAGGGGTAAAAATAGAGGCAGCTCATTAATATGGCTTGGCAGTGCTTAATGGCAGCTGGTCTGAAGAGTTAGATCAGTGGGTCTTTCCAGCAGTACTCCCGGACCACTGCCAGCAGGTGTTGCTGTGTTCAACAAAATGAAAAGAAGTGGAGGGGTGGGGAGAAAAATATTTATAAAGAGAGAAATAGGTGTGAAAAAAAATTAGTCACTGAGTAAAGCTTTCATTAGGCCTTTGGTAAAGCTATACACAAATTCCCTCAGGCAATAAGGAGCATGCTCTGAAATGAATAATGCTTTTCACTTCTCCTAATCTCCTTTCAGAAGTTATCCTGCCCTATAAATCACATACGTGTTTGCTGTGCTTCACTCGGTAGCCTTCTCTTTTTGTCACAGACCACACACTCTCGCACTGGAAATTCTCTGACCCGCTGCTGTTGTGGGAGAAGCGACGGACCGGCCGGCTGGGTGCTGCATCGGTGGGGGGGTGATGGCCAGCAGCCGTCACACCAGCTGCTGCGAATGGAGCACTGTGCTGCCCTGAGTCCACGGAGAAGATAGCTCGGTTTACTTTCAGGGCAATTTTTCCACTCTCCGTAAAACCGATGCAGTGCAAGATCTCTTGCTGAGCATACGTCTGCTGCCAAATTACAACAGTCACTGCACTACCAGTATGTAACCAATTTCAAAGAGTTTTAGGGTGCCCGTTAAAACCAAATTCAGTCTGGTCCTGAGAAAAACAGAATTCCATGCTGGAAAAGTTCTTTTCCAAAACTCAGTTTTAGGATCCCTGTTAAAAATATGGTCCTGCAGATAACTGTGTATCTGCATGCTCATTATCTGTTTCTGCAAGCATATCTCTCACTGTCCCTGAAGGAAAAAAAAAAAAAAAAAAAAGCTGAAAAAAAGCTATTCTTTGTAACAACTGGAACCACCAATGTCAGATTGCAGGAAAGCTACTGAAACCTGTTTCAAGAGGCTTCAATCTGCAGCATGTTATAGCCTGAAAACTTATTATATGCATATTAAACCTGGGAAACAAAACAACCTATCTGGTCATATGTTTCCCATTAACTCCTGATTTTTTGCTCATTCTACCAAAGCTGTTGTGTGAATACAGCACACACACCAGTTGGAATCAATGCTGCTATAAGGACTCCCTGGTATCACCGTAAGTTGAAAATTTTAAATCTTTCTTCCCTGATCCAGATCAGTCATATTCTAAGACAGATTAAACTTACGTTACCAGCAGGACATAAAAATACAATTATAAGTACGATTCAGGCCAAAAAAAAAATCTGAAGGATGGGGATTTTCTGGTAATCAGTGGGTGTTTTGAATGAGTAAAGACTGCATGATCATGCCATTTGTCATAAACGGTACCACATAAAGCCAGCTATTATGTGTGTGTTTAAGAAAGGAGATGGATTTTGGATTTTCTTCTGACCTTATATATATTACTTTTGTACTGCCTAATTGGCATACAGTTATTTCTGGTTTTCGCTAATGTAAACTGAAGTGAAAATTGCATTTTATTTTATTCCACATGTGTTAATATCACACTTGCAAAAAAATGTGACCTGTCATTCATTGTAACTTATTTTTAGATGTCTAAACAGTTTTTAATAGCGTGATGCAATCTGCACGTCAAGAAGCTAGGAGACTTGGACAAGAGCAATATGATTCATTTTTAGGAGCTTTAAAGGGATCCCTAAGTTAGCAGAAGGACATATCTATGCAAAGATTGGATTAAAAAATTCATCCACAGCAAAAGGATTCTTAATCAAATGCATTTTTCTGAATTTGAAAAGAATCCAAATTTGCAAATAGATTATCTGGTATATCCTTAAGTATGAAAGAAGAAGAAAACAATTTGCAAACTAGTAATTAAGTATCTGGCAAATACTGTATTTGAACTAAATCAGTGCTATCTACATCTAATAATATCTATATCTAGCTATGCAATAGAACAAGTTGGAGTGTGTCTTCCTGACTCATAATGTTTGCTTTCAGTCTGACTTTAAGTTCTATTCTTTAAATGGATACAGAGATCACCACTACAAGTTGAATCCACGATATTTTGTCATGCTAGACAATTAGGAGTTTCCATTAGATAATTACCAGAAGTATGTCTCATACAGGAAAAACAGTCAATTGCTGATGTAACAGGATTAACCAATCCAGCACTGTGATCCGGCCCACTTACTTTTGACAGACATTATATGTGAGTGTACACATGAGAAGTACAGTATAAAGCTTCGCATTATAAATACCACAAAGAGGAACTTCAGCAGTTCTTAATGCACAATACAGCAGTCTCCTCCTGAGAGTCAGGACTAGAGAGGTAAAACTTTAAATCAGCTTTCTTCTTTTAAAACTGAAACTTTTAATTCCTGTGCATGCTGTTGCATACTGTTAGGGCTATATTGAATGAATGCATATACAGAGCTTTGCAGCTCAGGTAATTTTATGGAAAGAGTCTGAACCACCATTTCTATATTTATTCAAACACTATGTATTTCTGTACATATTTATGTGTGTATGCAAGTACAAATGAACTATGTATCAGCGGTATCAGCAGATTCGCTTTTAGAAAACTGGTTTTTAGAAAGTTATGCTTTAATGTTAAATCTGTCATCATCATGGCATGCAAGTAACATATGCTATACCTATATGTAGTAGAGATTGTCTGTGATAAGTGTACCTGTTATATATGGCAAGCAACGTATACCCCGCAGCAAGAACCCAGATATACTTACCTGTATTTTATACTGATTTATGCCTATCCCTTACTTTTCATCAGACACTGTTGGGATAGGTGCTATATTAGAACTATAAATAGCCCCTTTAATTATGTCATCTGTTAGTACATCTAATCATGAATGCATATTTTCATCTGAAATTATTTTTTCGTCCAATTAAACTTTTAGTTCTATTTCAAGCTGACTTTCAGACTTCGTATAATTACAACAGACTTTGGGCTGTTCACAAGATCCAAGAAATTTAGATGTATTATAGCGAGGTTTGTGTTACAAAGATGTGTTTATAAGAATGGCTGCAGGGTTTATAATGCTGACAGACCCGTAAGTGTAACAGTATATAACAGTATAGCAACTGAGGTCAGTAAAACACAGATGAGGGTGTACTGTGGATGCCTTATAACAGTGAAAGACTTATAAAAGAGCTTAATTGAAAAGGACTTGCAATATATAACATTTGTAAAACTTTGGTTGATTGTTCAATTACTTCTGTATGTTTCATTTACTCTAACTATAATTCCGTGCCTGTCTCTCAGCCCATGCGCCTGTAGTCATCTCATGGAAATTAGAGACCTTACAACACTTAGATTTATAAATTACTCCTTTCCACTAACATACAATGGTTGACGGCAATATAGTGAAAGCGGCATATTTGCTGGGTAGGAGGTAAGCACACCTGAGAAGACAGAGGTGTGAGAGAGAGAGAAGGAAAGGAAAGAGAAGAAAGAGGGTAAATACTAAAAAAGCAGAAGCTGTTCTAAGAAAATCTGTACAAGTTAAAGTCTGGCGGGGAAGAACCTTGAGAGTTAGAGGCTATCAGCTGTAGTTTTCTCATTTTCCATTACCAAGTTCAAATGCGAGGGAGTTTGCTAACTTCACTCTTGCTGGGTAAGGAACAGAACGGAGAGGCTACAGAATGTAAAGGCAACATGAAGCCATGGTAGTGACGCAGGGAATGCCTTTTCACTGCAGAGCAAAACCCTCACGGGCGTAAACTGGCAAGGGTCTACCAACGCTGGTTGAAACTCCAGCTCCTAGCAGTGTTTTAGATTGTTTTTCATTCCCGATGTCTTATTCTAATATTATGATTGCTGTGTGTGGTTTAAATGAATGAAACAAAAAGTGTCTTCTAATAACAATGGGCCAAATGTAGAAGATCTTACTCAGCCTTCGCTCAGACAGAATTATTATTGGCATCGATGAGGGATTTGCCTGAGTCAGGAGTGAGTATGATTTGGCCAGATGACATGTAACACTTTTCACCTTCAAAGCATTTTTCAGACATTACTTGATTAACCCCAAACCTAAATATATCTGCCCGAGAACTTCTAGGCACAGACTAGCATAGAAGTAGGGATATTTCTGGTGTGAGGCACTACTTTAGCATGTCACAGATATGTGCCGTACCAACTCCTGCTTAAGCTTTCAGTGCCTGACCGCATATTGCAGCTGGAGAGCGTATCATGTATTATAAAGCCCTCCAAACAACAGTGTTATTTTGCTCCCATCAGATCTCTTGCCAATGTTGATAACCTCCAGCATTTAGAAGTGAGCAGAAAAGACCTTTTTCCTCTTATACTCAAGGCAGAAAAACGTTCTGCCCAAAATATTCGAGCTCCTGCCCTCAGCCCCATCTCATTCACAAGCTATTTAACATCTCCTGCTACCCCTAACAATACCAGGCAGGACCAAGAGCAAGGTGCTTGTTAATAAAAGGTTTCACTCATTTTATTCATTCATTCATGTTTCCTCTGTTTAGTTAAGCCAGTGATGCTGTTGAAGGAATAAAACAAACAAAACAAAAACAAAAAAAAGGAAAGAAAGGAAAAAAAAGGGGGAGGGGGGGGCATAATGACAGCCAGGGGGGAGAGGAGGGAGCCAGGAGGGTCAAACAGAGAGAAAAAAAAAAAAGGAAAAAAAGAGTGAATGTACAGGAATGAAAAGAGATTTTAGAAAGGGGGGAGGGCAGAAACCACGAGTAGTGATATTTGAAGAGAGGTGTGTGTTAGGGGAGCAATGAGCATAAGGAAGCCAGCCTGCCTGTTCCTCCCCCTTCCTAATCATAGCCTTTACTCACAGACAAAACTCCCTCCCTCTCTCATTCACTCACTCACTTTAGGCCAATCCGTCCTCTCTCTCTCTCCCCCTCTCTCTGTGTCTCTCTCCTACTCTGAGACAGAGTCAGAACTCTTCTCCCTGACAGCCACAAACATCTACAGCACTTATTGCATTCAGAGAGGGAACCTGCAAACAAAACTTCACAGAAAACTTTTGGTTCTTGTTCCAGAGAATCTGCTGAAGAGAAGGAAAAACAAACAAACAAACAAACAAACCAAACCAGCCCCAAAAAAACTGTGCGTGAAGGGGGAGGAAAAGCAGGGCCTTTTAAAAAGGGAATCACAACAACTTTTGCTGCCAGGATGCCTTTGCTTTGGAAGAGAGGATTTTTGTTGGTGCTTTGCTGGATTATAGTGAGGAGTTCCCCAACCCCAGGATCCGAGGGGCACAGTTCAGTCACTGACTGCCCATCATGTGCCCTCGCCACGCTCTCAAAGGATGTGCCCAGCTCACAGCCTGAGATGGTGGAAGCAGTAAAGAAGCACATACTGAACATGTTGCACTTGAGGGACAGACCTAATATCACCCAGCCGGTGCCCAAGGCAGCACTTTTAAATGCCATCAAAAAACTCCATGTGGGAAAGGTGGGAGAGGATGGTTATGTGGAAATAGAGGATGATGTTGGAAGAAGAGCCGAAATGAATGAAGTTGTGGAGCAAACCTCAGAAATCATCACTTTTGCGGAATCAGGTGAGTGCTTGAAAAACAAAACTGTAACATATCCTTTGTGCCAGAACTGCAATTAACTTCTTTTCTTCTCCTCAGCAATAATGTTTTCTGCCAGGTTGTAGGATGAGACTTGGGGGGAAGGGAGAAGGAGAAATGGGATGGGGGGGGGACGGGATTCCGAAGGAATCTGATTTTTCTGACTTAGTCTTGGCTACAGATTACACTTGCTGAGCACAGACAGCCACACAGGGAGGAAGCTCTCTGACCAATCTTGAGCAGAAAGTCAGGCTGCAGCAGGGTCCTCCAAACTGTGCCTGTGAAGCCAGAATACTTGCAGTAAAGTACTGGATTGCAGAGCTGATGGTGAAAGAAAAGGGGCTGAAGCCTTTTGGGGAGTTTATGAAGACAGAAAGTGAGCTGCAAACTACTTCAGAAGCAACCCTTTCGTGTAAAAATTACAGTGGAAGTTATAAAATCAAATGAAGAAGCTTTACATTTTAGAAGTCAGAGGTTTTTTGTTTTTTTTTTTTTTTAATTTAACACAGCATCTTTGGCAATAAAGAGTTGCAGGGACTGTCAGATGACTTCAATAGAACCGGACAAGTTGCTGTAGCTGATCCAATTTGTAATGCAGACCTCTGCATACTGGAAAAAAAGATTATGTTCCTAAAACGCTCCTGCCAAAAAAATGCAACCTTGGTAGGATGTATTTTGAACTCTTTCACAGTTCTGTTTTCCCTAACTCTTATACAATAAGAGCTCAGAATATAGGTATTTACTAAGTAATGGCTTAAGACTCACATCACTGCCTATAGGAAACAGCTCTAAAGTTATACTGTACTGTCTTGTTCCTACATGAATAAGACCAGAACCCGTTTTAATTCAATGTATATGCATGTGCATATTTATCTGCTAGTATATGTGAGCATGTTTTTACATGCATCAATAGCAGTATCTTGCAATAACTCTATCATCTAACAGCAACTTTTTATGATGCTGTCTAGCCAAGCATTTTTCCTGTTGCCAAGACGGTTTTAAAAGAATGTCATTGTTTTGTTTGGTACAGCATATGGTAGGCAAAGTATGCAAAGGAACTCCAAGCATTTTTGTTTAAAAGTTTGCTGCAGCAGTATAAACAATTAAGACAACAGTCAGAGTTTCCAGTCCTGAAAACCTGTTGACTCAGATGTTCTGTTTGCAGGGAAGCCATGCACAAGAAGTGTGCATGCTTTTAAGAGCAGACATCCCTGCTGCCTGTCCGATTTCCAGCTGTACAAGGAGCCCTTGCCTTTGGAGTCGTTGTCAATATACACATTATCAGTTCTTTCAGTATGAAAGCTCGGGCTTTTCGGTTTTTCCATCCCCTCCCCTTCAGAAAGCAGGCAGAAGGTGTCAATGCCAGTGGTCATTAGAAGCAGGGGCGGCTCAACGTTAGTTTAGAAATGAGTTTTTAAAAGCAAGCAAATCTCTAAGCTATCTGAGTCGGATTCCCCACCTGGTTTTCAGCAGCTCGCTCTGAGCACAGTGAAACACATATGGCATGAGCAGTGGTTTCTCTTCACTGTGTGAGTCCCAATCATTTGTAAACACATTATTGTCTCTCCTGAGCTCTGACACAAAGGAATTTGGAATTTGATATATGCCTACTCAGTACGACACCCTCCAACGGCGGGTCCCGAAGC